GGCTGGGTGACTGTATCCCTGGAGAGTACATAACATGTCACCATATTGCTATGTGTGTCAATTGTGTTCTCTGGGAAATACACTGTTAATGTTTATGTAATTGTCCTCTCTGATGTTTACTGCCTCCTTCTGCTAACCTAGGCCTAGTCATGGAAGCTTCTAGTCTCCATACAATCTAACCTAGACCTAGAATGTTTTCAGCCTCTGAGACTTACTGATGAGTACATACACCTTTATCTAGTTCTTTTTGATTTCTTGCTGGCTGGTTCAATTCAGTACTTATGGCTCAAACTCCTCTCTGGGCTGACTGATTCAAACTGGCTTCTCTCAGTTTCTGACTGAATTGTTCTGCTTTGCCTCAAACTAACTCTAGCAATCTATTCTAATCTTCTGGAGCCTTCTCATTCTCTGGCTCATTTTGTCATTACCTGTGTCTGTTTATGCCCTCTTTAACCTGTCTCTGTAAAAAATCTTTCCTCTGTTTTCATGAGAGTTGAACATAGCTTATTATGTCAAATCTTTCTCAGATTTTTCACTTTGTCTGCCTGTCCATTAAATGTTACTTTCAAACATAGCTACTTTCTTCTAAAAAATAACTTAACCTTCATTATTTGAGATTAAGGTGTGTACTAAGGACATGTCTGCATTCTAGCCAGATCACAGAAACCTAGAAAGTCTTTGGATACGATCAGAGCAGCCATGTTTCTGAATTAAAATTCCACTACAGTATAGCAGTGTCCTTGGGTCAATAGAGTACTTTTAGGTAGGCCAGTGTACCAGCAATTACAAGGCTTCTTAAAGAAAAGTGAATAGCTGCTTGGATTTTTTATTTGTTCTGTCTTTGTTTCAAAAGTGCTCAGGACACAGAGGAAGACAATGCAGCCACTCCTGATGAGACCTGATAGACTAGATTCAGAAGGAAGGATAGGAGGACTTCCCCTATCAGTCGACTGGGGGAGGGACATGAGCATGGGTAGAGAAGAGGGAAGGAGGGTAAAATTGGGAGGGGAGGTGGGAGGGAATTACAGGGGGGATACAAAGTGAATAAATTGTAATTAATAAAAATTAAAAGAAAAAAGAAGTCTAAGCAAAATTATGGAATTGCATGAACACGACAGTGCTTATTTTAAAGGAAAGTACAATTCTAAAATTTATTCCCTTAAAATCTAAGAACCAAATATTAAAGAATAAAAGGAAATAGAAAACCAAACAAACAAACAAACAAACAAAAACTTTAAAAGACTACACAAACAATAACACACACACACATCCACGGCTCAAAAAGAAAATGACTGTCCCTCTGTGTTTGTGTAGCTCAAAGCCTAAGAAGTTATGAAATCATTTAACAGAAGATGTGTGTGAAAGTAAACAAATCAGCATTACAACAGAAAATTTAATGTTATTTGTGTTCAAATCTCCATGTCTAGGTCTTTGGCTGTAGGCAGCATGAAAAGTAAGAAAAGAGAGACAACTTAAATTATTTATAAGAATTTTCCTGTGAACCAGGAAAGAGAGAGAGACTTATTGATTTTATGTCTTTTTTACCTCATAGAGTATTTTAATTTTCAAAGTAAAACGAAAATAGAAGAAAGAAGAAAACTCAGAAAGTGTATAGAAGAGTCTGTGGCTCTGTTTTTCATCTTATTGTTTCTTTTGACCCACTGTCCACATCAGACCTTATGTTATGGTGTCTCATTCCTACTCATGGTGTGACTGTGGTTGTTTTTTCACTCATTCTATCGACTAACAGCGTCTTTTAGACTATCTGGAGGGAAAAGCTGACTGTTTCACACTTGGTCTGATTTTATTTGGATGAAATAATTTTCTTTTCTCTCTTATTCAAGACTTTTAGCCTGGGGAAAAATATCAGACAGCTTTCTTTTTCACTTCACAAATTAGAAATTGCAATATTTCTCTCCTCAGAAATCACCCTAAGAATGCAATTGAAGCAACTGGTAGTATGTTTGGAATTTTTTTCTCTGAGAACTAGCATTTGTTTACTTATTGTGTAGTTTGAATGTGATAGCCTCAATAATTCATAGGCATTTCAATATTTCTTCCCAGCTGGTGGTCCTGTTTTGTTAGGGAGTGTGACTTTCTTGGAGGAAGTATATCATTAGGGCTGAGTTTGAGAGCTTAGTGACTTTTGCCATTTTGAGTTTGTTCTGGGTTTCCTCTTTCTGTTTTGATATGATATATTGGCTATGCCAGAATATAGTGGGGATGCTTGTCTCAGGGCAGAAAGACAGCAGAGATAGAGGAAGAGTGGGAGGCACAACCCTCTAACCTACTTTTTTTTTAGCTAGCATTCACTTCCTAAAATGTCTACCACCCCTTAGATACTGACACATGCTGGGCACCACAAGTTTAATACAGGAAGTTTCAGGGGGGTCATTTCTGTCTCTTAAAATTTCCCTTCATTTATTACTAATGTAGGAGTCATTATCTCCTGCCACCATCCTGTCCCTGATGCTGCGAAACTCTGTACCCAGGTTTAAAAGCCAATTTCTTTCTCTTCATTCCTGTAACTTTCAAACTCTATAGCTAGTCATAAAATCAGTGAAGGCATGTATAAAGAGGACAGTCAGTTCCACTTACCAGCTGTACCTTGTTTATGCCAGTCCCTACCTATGCCCAGAATTTATTAACCCTCTTCAGTGGTTTGAAGGAGACTAGCCCCACAGGCTTCTATATTTAACTACTTAGTCAGCAATTGGTGGAATTTGGGGGAAAGGATTAGGAGGTTTGAATTTGTTGGAGGACATAGATCACTTTAGGTAGACTTTGAAGTCTCGCTCTCTCCCTCTGCCTCATGGCGATGTCTTAGACATCATCTCTCAGCTACTCTCCCAGCACCATGCTTGCCTGCCTGCACCCATGCTCCCTGCGAAGATGGTTATAGACTCACTCTCTGGAACCATAACCTTCAAATACAGTCTTTCTTCTGTAAGTTGTCTTGGTCATGGTGTCTTTTCACAGCAAAGAAAAGCAAGCCAGACAGTCCTGTAAGAAAAATAAAGGAAGAAATATATCTCCATACTTTCTACTGTCAGACTCATCGTTCCTGAACCCTTGCTCATTACTTACTTGGCTGTTCTCTAACAACTATATTCGATTTCACAGTTGTGCTTGTTTTTAATGCATCTAAGATTTCCTCTTGTTATTTTTATTTTCACTACAGTACCCCAATACTCTTTTCTACTAGTTCCATTTTTTTCCTGGTTTTCACAAGACCTTCCAATATTAAACGTGAAACTCTGTGACCCTAAAATCCTTGAACCTCCTGCTTTCTTTATTGTCAGGCCGTAACTGCTATCTTCACTACCTGTTCAGATGTCCTTCCTCCCACCACATAGTGGACCTCCTAATGGAAGTTTTTAGGAGTTGGTGTGCTGGTGGTGCAGTTGTCCACACCTGGGACTTCTTGGCATTCTTCACTGACTCTATGCTTAAATCCTTTTTGGGCTGCATCTTTGTAGACTTTCTTATATTTGTAGTGTTATTTCACAGAAAAAATGTGTCCTGTTTTCTAAACAAAGAGATTTTAAGAAATCATTTGGAATGTAGCTAATGAAAGACCAATAGTTAGGTAAAATAACAAAGAGTAAATGATTGACATGAGCATTTCCTTAATAATGAATTTCCTCTTTATACTAGAATAAGGCTTAAAATGAAGTTAAATAAAAAAGAATATTTAGAAATGCTTTTTGGACATAAAAATTTTGCCTTTGTGGAATAGTACATTTATCTCTGCTAATAATTGCATTATCTATTTGACATTAAGTTTTATTTTTAATAACATTAAAGTAATTTTATCACAAATTGTAAATGAGACACTTATTCTAATCATTTAAACACAAATAAGAATGCAATTTCAAGATACAATAAAATATAAAGAGCAGTGTGTTATGAAATAAAAATGAAATACTTACCTCTGAGTAAAATTTGCATATTTTAAGATAGTTTTTAAACCATTTTCAATTGATATAATTTGTTTATAATTAAATAGGCACTTTAAAATATCAATGTAAGTAAAAGCTGCATAATCAAAGAGTCTTTTATGTTATTAATTGATATAATCTACTTGTGGAAATTAAAATTGGAATAAAAGTCTCACTCAAATTAATCGAACATATTTAGTATACCATACACCTGTTCACAACATATTGCTGAAAACGATTATATGATAATGAATGATTAAGCAACAGAAAAATAAATGTATAACTAAAAATAATACATTATTTAAAACTATATATAAGGGAAGTAACACAACGAACTGACTTTTATCTAAGCATAGAGAATTCTAAAACCACCTTATTGTTAACAACAGCAGGAAGACACAATGTATGTTTCTTACTGTGAATCATCTGTATTTGCTATGGAAAATAGCAACAATATGGTCATGCAATAATGCATTCATGTTTCTATGGCATGTGCCATTGCATAGATGGGTTTTTATCAACAGTAATGCTCAATTGCTCATTCAGGGTAATGAAAGAAACCCAGTATCCACTTTTACTCCACCACTCCTTCTGCTTCTGTCTGTTTCTATAACAGAAAGGATTCCGCTGTAGGCATGAAGTCATATATTTGCTTTATCTCATGACCTTATATTATAGAAGATGGGGAGAGAGAGGATTTTCACTGTAGTGTTAATGCCATCTTGGTGCTGGATCCATATGACCAGAATGAGCAAGGCATAAATACTTCTTTGATGGAACCTGTGTGTTCTGAGGTACATGAAGTGGCAACTGAAATTGAGGTGATGAAATCCGTGCTTACTACAGAATTATATAATAGCTGAAGATATATATAGGATGCCCTGTATGAGGGCTGGAGGGCTGTGGTGTCATACTAGATGTAGAAATTCAAGTATCAAACTGAAATAAAATTGCCTAAATTGATAAAATTCTTAAAATATAAAGCAGAGGTGATTTTCTATTTCATCTACCCATGTACTTGCTGTGTTTTTTTGTTTTGTTTTGTTTTTTGTTTTATAGTGTCAACCTGCTCCACTGTAGAGTTCCGCTGTGCAGATGGGACTTGCATTCCAAGATCAGCTCGATGCAACCAAAACATGGACTGTTCAGATGCTTCAGATGAAAAAGGCTGCAGTAAGACTTTTGTTTGTTTGTTTGTTTGTGTGTGTGTGAACAACTGCTGGCATTGACTTGAACACTGTCCTACATTTTTTCTGAACTTCTTCCAGAATTGTTATGCAATTAACCCTGTTTTGTAGCATAATCGCATACTTACTTCTTTAATGAAGTTGAGTTTTCTTGCCTTTATGACCTACTTAAGAAGCCTCATAGTTTTTGCAAGTGTGGTCTTAATTTCATTTTTGTTTGTATCCTTCTAGATAATACAGATTGCACGCATTTCTATAAACTTGGAGTGAAATCCACAGGATTCATAAGATGTAATTCTACCTCGCTGTGTGTTCTGCCAAGTTGGATATGTGATGGGTCTAATGACTGTGGAGACTATTCAGACGAATTAAAGTGCCCAGGTAAGTTCCAAAAGAAAAAAAAATAATTCTTGCCTTGGTAATTTAAAAGTTAGCTACTTAAAGTATGAATAGATGAATGAGAAATATACCAGGCATATTTGTGTTCTTCTAAATATGTTACTTGATCTTTATAAATGAATTACAAACTGGTACTTAAGAAATATATATTAATTTAAGAGCATATTTTTAAATATTTAGCACTTCATGAGTACTTTTAAAATTGATGATTAAGCCATTAAAATGTATAATCTGTAAAGCTTCGACAGAAATTGTATAAACTTTGCAAGGCCTATTTAAAGAGAAACAGGAGGAAGACATTTCTCACCACTTTACTCTGTGGCAGACAGCTGATTTGTTTATGGTGGGAAGTGCGGAAGTTATTTTATGATTGGATCAGTGTCTGACAGATACGGTTATATAGGCGTCTTAATCATGTCTGCACACAAAGCTCTGAAGAGCATCATTTAGCTTTTTAGAGAACAACTTCTATAATACTAATGAGTGCTTCTATTTGAGGAAAATGAAACTAAATAAAATCATTCAACATGTTCACCAAAAATAAAATAATAATAACTGAAAGTGTATACATGCTCAAGCAGGTACCATTTAATATGGCTTCAAACTGCTGTTTACCCACCTCATACTACTGACCTTCACTTGGGTTGAACTTTTTTTAATTTTTTTTTCAGAATGTTTTGAAAATGGTAATTGTGGGTTTTTACACAACAATTTTCTAAACATATACTCTACTAAAAGAAATTTCTCTTTATGAGAAGTTGTAATTAATCACTTTGTAAAATTCTAGTTTTTTGTACTGAAAGTGGCATAACTCTGTATTGTGCTGATTTTATTTAAAACCTTTCCCCCATGTATACATCTCCCTCTGCTCCCTGCAGCTCATTTGTGTCCTCCAATTCTAATACAAATTCTAGAACCTCTTTCTTTTTCCATGTTTTACACAAATGCAAACACATACAAACATATTTATGCATGAGTATGAATAAACACAACTTGCTGTGTCTGTTTAGTGCTGTTCCTACTTATAAGTATTTAGGGATGACCACATGGTACTAGACAGCCAACAAGTCGATCATCTTGGAGAAGACTGACTTCCTCTTTCAGCAGCCATTACTGTACTTCTTGATCTAAGAGTAGGGTTAATTTTCTTCTTAGTTTTGTTTGTTTGTTTGTGTCTCACTCTGTGTGTGTGTGTTTAATTTAAAAACCTTTTTCACACAATATATCCACACACAATTTTCTCCATGTGCCTCTGCCAACTGTTCTTTGATTCACCCTACTTCCATATGCACCTAAATTTGTAGGTAAAAATTGTGGGCAAAAGCAATGAAAAATTAAACAAAAGTGCATAAAAAATATTATTGAGGACCTTTGGCTTGGCGAATATTGCTGGGCATGGGGACTGAGCTGGTATGTGGATGATATACACAGTGAGACTCCATTGGAGAAGAGTGATTTTCCCTTTGGTAGTGCCTATCAAGTGCAGATGATTCACTGATAGAGCTGGGTTCTCATGTCCACTTGCCACTCTCAGTGTAAGTTCCACATCTGGCTTGAACCTTTTCAAGTCTTGTGTGTGTTGCTTTAGACCCTGAGAGTTTGTGTGAGTATGAGTACTGTTGTTTCTGGAAGACATCATTTTCTTGAAGTCATTCATCGCTTCTGGCTCTTACAATTTCTGTTTCTCTTTTTCTGCGTAGATCCCTGATCCACAAAAGGTAGGTTTTCATGAAGATATGCCATTTAGGGCAGAGTGCTATAAAGTCTTACTCTGCACATTGTTCATTGGTGGGTCTTGTGTTAATACCCATCTACAGTTAGAAGAAGCTTCTCTGATGTAAGTTGAATGAGACTCTGATCTACAGATCAGAGTTTGTCATCATGAGTTATTGCTATATTCATTTTGAAGAGTAATAGTACTGGATCCATAGTCCTATCTAGTCTCAGGTTCTTGGCCACTTTAGCAGCACCAGTTATCAATTTCATATTGGACTAAGCCATAAATTCAATAAAAAGTGATAGGTTACACCCATAACATTAGTGCCGCTACTACACCTGTGGACATGTCATCAGGGTGAGGTTTTAAGTGATTTTCCATATGCACATTGGCATGTCAGCTATATTGTCATTGTTTAGGCAACCATATTCATGAGATTTCATGGACCGAACTTTTCTGTCATACGTAGAAGATAGCACAAAGCAGACATCCTGGTCCTCTGGCTCTTATAAATGTTCAGCCCTCTCTCCATTAATCTTTTCTGATTCTTAAATATAGGAGTTGAAATCTATAGATATTAGAGCTGAGATTACAACAATATGGTGTTTATTTTGCAGTTTTGCCACAGTGGCTTTCTTTTTTAAAATTTAGATGTGTTATTTTCAATTAGTTTATTTACATCCTGATTGTAGCCCTTCCTCATCTCATCCTGGTCCCAGCTTCCCACCCTCTTTCTGTCATATCCCCCTCTCCTAGTCCTCAGAGAGGAGGAGCCCTCCTACCCTACCAACTGACCCCAGCCTATTAAGTCTCATCCAGACTGGCTGCATCCTCATCCTCTATGGCCTGGCAAGGCTGCCCCACCAGGGGAAAGTGATCAAAGAGCCTGCAACAGAGTCCACCTCAGAGAAAGGCCCTGTTCCCCTTCTTAGGTAGCCTACATGGAGACTGAGCTGCCTATGGGCTACATCTGAACAGGGGGCCTAGGTCCTCTGTGTGCATCGTCCTTGGTTCATGACTCAGTCTCACATGGCCCACCCTGGATCCAGATTTGTTGGCTTTGTTGGTATTCTTGTGGAGCTCCTGTCCCCTCACTCTTCTGTCTCCCAACTCTTCCATAAGCTGCCCCGTGTTCTGCCCAAAGTTTGTCTGTGAGTCTCAGCATCTGCTTCAATCCCCTGGTGGGTGAAATCTCTCAGAGGACATCTATGGCCGCCTCTTTCTTGTCCTGTTCCCTCTCTTCAACCACTCCTGGTGTTTATTCAATTTGCCCTTCTGAATGAGAATTAAGCATTTTCCCCAGCTTATTTAGCCTATTTACTTAAATTCTTTAGAACTATAGCTTATAGTATGGTTATCCTGTATAGTAGTTTATATCAGCTTCTATATCTTCTCTGCTACAAACAAGAAGCCATATTGCTAAGGAGTTAGAGGAACATTATATATTTATATCTGTGAATATAAAAATAAGCATTTAGATTGCAATTAGAATTGATAGTAGTTTAGGAAAGTAGCAGTATTATGTTCTTTGTGGCCCATAGCCTCATTCAGCATTGGTAGTTGATTAGGCTTAAAGTACTAGGTATAAATTCCCTCCTTCTGATCAGGGCTTAAGTACAATTAGATAGCTGTTACATACCAGCAAGATCACTATTGCACTTTGGGGGACAACTTGTGGTCCATATCAATATGGTAGTTTGTAAGTTTCACAGCTGGGTAGCACTACTGATAACTTTTCTCCTTGGCAACTTGTATACCTCTTCCTGCTACTATGAGAGTGAGCCATGAGGAAGGAAGCTTCAAGTTCAGGTCCAGCTTGACTTCCACAAATGCTGTGTCCAAAGAGTGTAATGTATTCAACATTAGGGACATACTTTCAATTTCTGGGAGGCAGCCCAAGGCAACAGGATTTGGATATATTGTTTGATGAGTCCTGGCATTTTTTTAAGTCTCTGGTTCTTGGTTGAAGCATTATCACCCAAGTGGAACAACATATATAATATAGATTATATATGTATATGTGTAATATACAAATCTCTCAAAGAAATAGCTACACAAATGGAGGCAAATAAAGAGGAAATGAACAAAGCTTTCAAAGAAATATAGGAAACTACAGCCCAAAATAAAGACACAGATAGAGGCAAAATTAGTGGCATATAAAGATGAAACAACAACAACAAAAAAAATAGAGGCCATCATGGAAAGACAGGAATCTACTTTCAAACAGATGAAGGGAATGGTACAAGACATGAAAACAGAATAAAGAAAACACAAACAGAGAAAACCCTGGAGTTGAAAAACTTACAGAAAAGATCAGGAACCACAAAGATAAGTATCACCAATAGAATACAAAAGATGGAAGAGAGAATCTCAGGTGTTGAAGATATACTTGCAGAAATAGATACATCTCTTAAAGAAAAAGTAAAATTGGAAATGTTCCAAACAGAAAACATCCAATAAATCAAGGATGCCATGAAAAGACAAAATCTAAGAATAATAGGAATAGATGAAAAAGAAGATTCTAGGCTCCAAGGTCCAGAAAATATTTTCAAGAAAATCATAGAAGAAAATTTTCCCAACTTAAAAAGAGATGTCCATAAATGTACAGGATGCCTACAGAACACCAAATAGACTAGACCAGAAAAGAAACTCCTCATGTCACATAATAGTCAAAACACTTAATCTACAGAACAAAGGAAAAATATTAAAGGCAGCAAGGGAAAAAGGCCAAGTAAAATATAAAGGTAGACCTCTCAGAATTACACCTGACTTCTCAACAGAAACTATGATAACCATAAGGGCCTGGGCAGATGTCATGCAGACTCTAAGAGACCACAGATGCCAACCCAGACTACTATACCCTGCAAAGCTTTCAATCAACATAGATAGATAAAACAAAATATTCTATGACAAAACTAAACTTAAACAATATCTACACAGCAAATCAGCCCTATAGAAGATACTAGAGGAAAAACTCTAATCCAATGAAAACAACTACATCCAAGAAATCACAGGATATAGATAACTTCACAACAAAAACAATTGAAGAAAACAAACATAGGAACACAGTAACACCACCACCTCCAAAATAAAAGGAACAAACATTCATTGGTCATTATTATCTATCAACATCAATGGCCTCAACTCTCCAATAAAAAGGCACAGACTAACAGAATGGTTGTAGAAACATGATCCAGTATTCTGCTGTATCCAAGAAACACACCTCTGCAACAAAGGAAAACAGCCCTTAGAGTAAAGGGCTAGA